TAGCACAAGAAAATGAACGCCATCAACAAATTCAATACATGCAATTCAGATTATTTGACAAAATCAGCCCATGCTCATAAAACTTGCGGAACCGCGGCGAGTTTTACGGCTTTCTGCAGACCAAACGCTTCCGCACCGTATTAGTGGAATTCTAAGAACAAATTACCAAAATTCCATTAATAGTGACGGAGAAGTAAGCTTATCTACCTTAAATATTTTTTCATCTGTATCCCTTTTGCTCAGCTATATTTCTCAAGTATGGCTTGAATTTCGGAATATCCAGTTGCTTGCAATCATCGACAAGCCATCCCGAATTTTGAAGCGAAATACGGAAGAGCATAGGCCGAAAGTAGAGACTGCATAATCTAAAATAGATAATATAAACCAACGCTTGCTCCATGCGCCGTCATGAAGATGATGAGTACAGCACCGCTACCGTTAGAATGACCTGAGTATAGTTTTTTTGAACATTCGTACTAGCATCGCTACGATTATCTCTAAAATTGTTGCTTGGATTGCTCAAAAAAGTCGCTACATAGACTTTCATAAAATGTTCCGACAACTTATCTCAGAAGCAAACACACAAAGTACAACACAGCCTAAATTTTTCTGCATAAGAAGTTATAATTGCAATCTGCTTTCCGGTTAAACTACGAAATATCCACTCTAAGTTACAAAACTCGATCAAATCTCTTCGATGGGAATATATGAATCAACACGTCAGTACGGAATGACATCTGCTCACATGTTGGTACTATGCTCTGTATCTGCTATTTCGATGCAATTGTCATCTTTTTTAATTTATAGTCCTCGTTTTTTGTTCAAGCAACCTCGCATCAGAAATCAAATGCTGACGAACAAAAGGCACTTGCCACACTCACTGTTCTCTTCACATCTCTAAGAAGTAGCTAAATGTGGACAGAGGTCACGAACTGGCAACCTCGTATCTCAAGACCTAACAAAACAGCTGTCATATTTCATTTCAATTACAGCTGCTTAATTACATTACTCATGATAATGTGATAAAGCTTTTCAGTAAAGCCGGGAGCAGCTGTCTTAACTAAAGAATGTTACAAGAGCTGATGTGTTTTATCTCACTTACTTTTCTAGAAGTTCTTCCCTTTTAATCTTTAGCATTGCAGCAGCTGGACGTCCAATCAACTTTTTAGCAGTGTCATCTGATAACTTTACAACAAAAACACCGCTGAAGTCCGCGAGCTCAGCCTGAAGTCGGGTCTTAGCGAATCAGTGGTTAAGTAGTAATTAAGTCTAACATTCAGTGAGTAAAAATATCGCGCTTTATTGTTATGGCAGTGCTGGCATGAGACCGAACCCTTAGGATTTGGATCAATATGTCGTTGACACGAGGAACACCTAAACGGAGTGATGAAGGTGGAATACGCAAAAGAAATTAAGAATTCTTACCCTAGGTAGATAAGTTTGTCAACATCAATACTACATATTCGAGCCATCACAGTAGAAGCTTCTCGAGCATATTCATGGAGGCGACCGATCAAACGAAGTGAAGTGTTAGCAACTGAAAATACTATCTTATTGCGATGATGAACTTATTTAGCTAAGGAGAGCTCATACATGAGAAAGAGTCTTCATTCTCAGCTACATCAAACAATCCGGTTTTGTATAATCGATGTAGGCACTCTGCTTCTGGATCACTCGGCTCTAAGTCTACGAACGCTGTATCAGTCAGCACGAGCGACACTGTTCCTGAGAAAAAAAACCTGATGAGTTTAACAAACCAAGCCAAATTGCAAGGATAGGACAAAAATGAAAACGACATGATGG